GAGAGAGAGAGAGAGAGAGAGAGAGAGAGAGAGAGAGAGAGAGAGAGAGAGAGAGAGAGCTCACCCTCGCCACGATTGCTGGTCGTGTCGCGATTCGTGCGTTACCGATCCGGTATCTTTTATCGAAAAATGATAACACCCGAAATTGAGGCGTTATCCAAATTGCCCACACTCCGAAACATCAATAATGTAAAATACTCGTTTTGAAAATGGAACGGTTATTTTTGCACGATATTACCGATAAAATACAAAAGCTGGACAACGTTATCAATTAATCGGGAATCGATATTCGGTAATTCAATTCCAAGTGGAATTACTGGGCAGGTTGATGCAATAATTCTCCCGGCAATTATGTGAGCATATATCATTTTTCCAGCGGAGTGTCGTCTCAAGAAACAGTAATAATATCGCGAGAGATATTAGAGGACCACAATGAAAAGCGGAAAAAATACGAACGTCGTTAAACGCGAATAAATATACGTTATGAATAAATAATGTCTTTTGACGCAAGAGACAAATCTTACTGAAAGAGGAAATCGCTAAATTTTTAATGAAGAATCAAAATATCATTCAGTATTCATAAGAGAGTCTATAAGAAGATCGACGTACTCGTTTCGGAAATAGAAGACAGTCATCGATTTGACAAATGTTTTTAGAAGAAATAATAAAAAGATCGATGATCGGTCGCGGAAACAATCGCTCGTGAACAGAGAGAGAGAGGGGGGGGAGAGAGAGAGAGAGAGAGAGAGAGAGAGAGAGAGAGAGAGAGAGAGAGAGAGAGAGAGAGGGAGAGAGAGAAATCGTAATTAGATTCGCGCTGGTGAACGGCCGACGACGGCGCGCGTTGCTGGAAATAGAAAGTAACGACCGAACAATCGAAGGCTAATCGATAGTGTGTAAAGCCGGACGGACGAACGATGCGAGGGGTGTACAGACACCTCGCTACATTAGACTTTCATTCGGCCGCAGTAGTGCATGACCCGGTATGGTCAGACCCGGGCCCTCGTCTGGCACCATCTCCGCGAGGCAACCGAAGGTTCGGGTTATCAGTGGCGGATAATTTAGCGAACAAATTGGTTGCTTTCCCGTGAAAGAAGCGAGCCAAAAGCTTATAATCGTAATATCTACATAATACCGAGTTATCGCTGCGTTATAATTTAATATAATACATCATGTGGGTGTCTGCCTATATCGAGTCATCTAATATTATTTCTTTCTTGTACTTTTATTTTTTATTTCTGCATATGAGAAAATAATTATCTAAAAAGTCTGTTTAGTTTTTAAAATTGTATTATAATTTTATTACATTCGAGTAATAATGTAAGTTTTAAATAGATCGAAAAAGATTTGCGGGAAACGGAAAAACTCGTGTATTTTAAAAATGGGGCAAATACTAAAATTTTTTATTGTTACTTATATTAATTTGTAAGTTGATAGTAATTTGGATTGTTTAGATAACAATTACCCGTCAAGGTAGCGCAACATCAAGACGAAAACGTTCCACTTGCCGACGTTCGTTTAAGGGTTGAAAATGCAGGGGTAGGAAATATTACCGACGGTTGTAGCTCGATTAAAACGTACCCATCGACGAGTCCTGTTTTATCAGAGTACAGTTTATACCGGTTGCTACCCTTATCAACGTTATCTATAGTCGACTCTTGCTGATATTGCATCGAAGGGTAAAAAGGGATGAAGGGGGATGAAACAACGTCGGTAAAATAGTTTGCGCGAGAACAGCATGAAAACTGCGAGATAAAAGTTCAAGTGATAAGAGATATGTTGTACCCAGTCGGTGATTTCTGTCCAATAAACATACGGCAAAGTAGTTATAAGAGTCGTAACTTTCCTGTTAACTGCGTTTAATAAACGTTTAATAATGTTTAATGTACTATCATATATTTGTTAGGTTGGCATATTCGCGTTGCCTCTTAAAAGGAAAACAGTAAACGCGATCGTTAGCACCATTATCACCTACATAAAGGTCTCTGTATATTAATGACAATTTTTTAATTACCTCTTACTAAAGTGTGATATCTTAGTACCGAAAAATGTAATTTGTGGCCTAGTTTACATCGTGCACTTGATACGCGTATTAAATAGTAAGAAATAGTAAATAACTAGTGAATTGGTTTAGTCATTGGCTGATCAGTTCATATACACTATTTGATATGCGTATCAAATGCACGATGTAAATTAGGCCATTGAACAATTCTAATTCAGAATTTTTATGAGCAATTATCATCAATTTAAACGAACGCCTCAAGGACCTTTTTAGCTTCATGCGGACGACAAATAATAGTCTATTTTCAATTTACCAACTATATGTAGTTGCTTTCTCAAGGTAATCAATAAACAAAATAGAATTGCGAATAAATGTTATCGTCCGCATTTATCTTTCTATATCGATTATCGTTAAATACCAGGCCGTAAATTACTAAAAGAGATCTTAATTGTTTAGCTGAAAGTTCATTTTTCTCCTTTCTATACCGTAAAGTTCCCAAGATGGACGTCCGCACAATCGTAACCGCTGGTAGCTAAAGAATTAAGTAAGAAAAGACGAAGGAGAAGTTCACTCACATAATATCGCCAAGCTTGAGCCGCGTCTGTATAAGGGCGCAGCTCTTGTGGTCGCTGGTGGTGACGGCCCTCCGTCTCCTGGCGGCATACCGGGGCATCGTATCCAAGTGCGTCGCGCCGCCATCGGCCGCGTTTCCAGGACCACCGCCGATCCCACCATAGCCGATGAGGCCCACGCTTCCACGCACCAGCGGATTACTGCCACGCCGACGTGTAGACACGTGCCGACCTGCCACGCCACCCAACATCCTGGAAGAAATGCATAAGCTAATGAAATCCAAGTAAACTTTGTATATAATTGTAAGATAGAAACCTAAGGATCGAAGTTTCAACCCTGCGATCGTAATTTGAATTCCGAAACGCGCGAAAACTTGTGATTGCTATCTTGAAAATTAATGTCAGTATACGTAGTTTTTTTAACTATTATTATTCTACGCCTCTTTGTAGACAGTGCCTAGCACTTTGTTTAAAAAATTTTTAATATAATAAATAAAATTTTAACTCTTTCAAAAGTTCTTGACACTTTTCTTTAAAATTTTGAAAAAATTGAGAATTAAAAATTGAGAAACCGAATATCGAATTTTATATCTATTATAGAATAATAGATAATTAATTTTTATAACAATTTTTTTCCAGAATTTTAATAAAGTTATCAAGAAAATGCTATAAAAAATTCGATATCTTTTATAATTATTTGTCACGATATTTTATTTCCATCAGACTTGAATTCTATTTAGAAAAGCTATTAAAAAGTATTAGATTTCAATGTGAATCCTGATTGAAATAAAACTGTTGCAACTAATGCTCACACAATGAATACGTGAAGCTGACACGTATCTTCGGATACCTATTTTTTTACACTCAAGCTCTTTAAAAAAAAGAGAGAGAGACCGTGTCACAGTTTATTCTATAGTGATGTGTCGGAAACGATATCGCAACAAAAATAAAATGGAAAGAGTAACGAGTACCTAGCGTTCTCGACTAAAAACTATTTTATCCGATGTATTCAGTTTCGAAATTAGGGTCGCCGGTCATAAATCATCATGATACTTCAAATCAGATGGCACGCATGAATTACGTAACGATAAACTGTCCAGGCTGGAATCGCCGCTCTTGGTTTAAAAGAAAAAAGAATTTGCGAAGGTATAAACTAACGAGGCATGGAAGAAATTCAACGGAGCGGTTCTTTCGTTAATTAGGTTACGTTGACTGGCCTAATCTTGGCGCATCAGTGGCAGCCAGTAGTCACGCGATCGAGCACTTGTGCCCGTCTATTTTCTGGCACGCGTGCCAGGGCCATTAATAGCCTTTTTTTCCCTTAACGTATCGGCGATGCCTAACTAATCTTCGTCGGATCGATGGGAAAAGTCCGTCGTATCGAATATAAAGAAGAGGGGAAAAAAGAGACCGTTTCCAATGTATCCGCGATACGAATCTCGAGTTCGATACGGATTTGCACGCCATTCATACGTTACGTAAGCAGCGTTAAAGGCACCGTCTCTCGGCAACGTGCGTGAAATATTCTATTAATTACCCGCGCCCGCGTCCTGCATACCTACTGGCTCCCGCCTGGCTTTTCAAACGTCATGAGCGTGAATCTCCTTTCCATTTCTACCTTTTCTCTTCATTTCCTGAAAGCGTCCGTCGTGCGCGCTGAAATGATGGAAAATAAAGCGCCACCGCTATCTAGATATTGCGAAATCCGATTAATCATCGTCCGAACGCGACGTACGCGTCGAGTTCACTACCCTCGGCGAACCGGAAATGCGCGGAGTTCACGAATACCTACCGGCGTGAATAGAAACGCACGAGAAAAGTCATCAAAGGGTTCGTGATACTTTCGCGGCAATCAGTACCTCGATGCGCAAAAGAGCCCGCGAGAGGAAGAAACCTCGGAGAGCCGCCACTTTCCCGCGGGATAATATTTCAACGTGCATTTTAATAAACGCGAGAGACGTTCTCTTTATATATTCGTTTGTCCTTCATAAATGTTCTAAATAGAGTCCGCGGAATTTTATGTCGATATCAACCTGGGCACTTTGATGAACCGATAAAAGATTAAGTGACGCCCGATAAAGTCAGCCTTAATGAAAATTACGGGGTTGCGGATGAGCGTCGTAAATATTGCAAAGCATAAATGATTTCGGTTACGGAAACTACGGTAAATCACCCGCGTTACACGACCGTCGTTGTTTCCTCGAGCTATCAGATTCAGGACTTTATTACGGCGGAGTTTCGCAAAGTTTCTCACCAAGCGCATTACGCTAAGCAGGCGCACGTAGGTCGGTGTACACTAAATAAGTACATATCCATGGATCGAGTGCATATTAGGTATACAGTTTACACGTTGCGTGTTCGCCAAATGGCGGTGCAAGCTCGAAGCGCTTAGACCACAAAATTATGATTTCGTGAAATGCCACGGAATCTTGCGCGGAGATAGATACCGCGATTAAGACTAAAATATTTTGCCACTCTAAGAAAAAAGAAGGACAGTTAGCAAGCCATTTTGGGGCCCACAATTAGTAATCGAATTATCTGGATTGTTCGTAACTCTACTCTGGGAAAAATTTTGACCGTTTTTTGTTGTAGTTAAGCAACTTAACATTTCGGTTAGTGCCCCTTAAGTGAAAGTTATCTTTGCGTTACTGAATATCGACAGAACTAATTGTGAGAATTGATTAGTATCACTTAAAAATCTTGGATATAGATAGAATAGCTGATTGCGATTTTTAGCTACGCGGGATAAAATTCGTAAAAGATTAGAAAGTTACGAACAATCCAAATAATCCGATTAGTAATTGCCTGCCCCAAAATAGGTTGCTAACTGTCTCCTTTTTTTCCCAGAGCAGGCGTGCGTAAAATTTAAATCGCAATTAGATCTGTCGTCTCAAGTTAAACGCGCAATAGAAGAGATTTTCAGTATATCGACAATGAAGAGATTTGTGATTGCAGCGATTACCACAACAATCCCGCGGGAGGGAAGTCGATTAATTGGAAAATCTACGTCTCGAGGATATTTTATATTTCGCGGCGGATCCGCGTGAAATGCGGCGATTAAAGCCGCAATTTTCCGTCGATGCTGATTCCTCACGGATTGAATCACGACGCGAGATATTCGTGGCGTCGAGCATTCGCGGGCGTTAACACGCGTCAGTTCTCGCACGGTTATTTGCGCGCACGAATTATTATCCGGTCCGGCTTTATCGAATGAACAAAACAGAATTACAATCCATTACGGGGCACACCCACGCGCATCTCGACACGTCGCTACGCGAAATTTCACGCGAACGGACATTACCGTTGCGATATCATTGTTCGCGCTCGAAAGTAATCAATTTATAAGTTTTCATGCCGATTCTGCCTCTCTCTCAAACAGCTCATCCCATCAGGCTTATTTCATCGTTTCACCGAATCACCTTCATCTACACATCAGCATTCATTCGCGTATTCCCTTGCATAAATGCGTAATGGAATAAAAGTCAATACGAAGTCGGCCACAGTTTTGTTGCGCTCTCCTATTCTCTCTTGTTGTTGCATAATGCATCTGGAATAACGTGCGTTGACAATCGTGTATCAATAAAAATTGATGAATTAAAATGTTACACAATTGGTATGCAATTACGAAGAGATGGTGTGTATCGTTTGCACTGTTTTCCGCGAATCTAGGGATCTGGTTGCAATATCCCGTTCGCGAGAGATCATTTCGCATGCAATTTAATTTTATTATTCATGATATTATTTGTGTAAACTATTGCTATCAAACGGTCATTATTTACCTATTAATACTCGATCATTTACGTAAACTACTACTGCATTATATATTATATATGTATTATATTATTCACGTCGTCTATATTATTTACATGAACTTGACGAGACGACGAGAGAAAGCAGAAAACGAATCGCGCAAACACACAGGCGCGCTTGCTCGTTCTCCTGCCTCTCCTCCTGCACCATTCACGACCTCATGGCGGATAATGAGAAATCGAAGGCGAAGCGCGCACGGGGGCGTGTATCGACGTGCTTTACATAAGCGAGTTTCGGGAAAATACGTAGATCGCGTATGCGTACATAGATCGCAGTAGCTAGTCTTCCCGCACGCCGCGCCGGTGGTCGAAATTTTAGGGTAGCAACCTGTTGCTAGGCACCCCGGGGAACTCTTATCCCACCCTCGCTGTGTTACCCGGCAACCTCTGCTCCGTTTCCCCCCCTCTCTCTCTCTCTCTCTCTCTCTCTTTCTTCCCTCCTCTAACCCTTTCAACTCCCGTCCTCCATCTTTCTTCCTTTCTCCGTACACATATTCTCTTTACATGTCTTTCTCTTTGCATCGCATGTGCATACCCTCTCTTTGTACGTGTTCTTTCCCCCGTTCTCTCGTTCTGGTATAACAGGGCGCAACACATCGCTCGAGAATCTCCCTCTCGTCGACTCCCGCACGAAGAACCGTCCCGTTTTTATTCCGTCCATTGTCCTTTTCATCTCTCCGCTTCCTTTGTCCAGTCTACACCTCTTCTTTTCGCAAGTATTTCCTGTCGTCGCCCTTTACGTTTATCGCAACCGCGAGTTCGAATTTGCCGAACTTCTGGCTCTCTCCCTGTCCAAAGCACTTTTTACCCTTCTACCTCGACACACGCAGACAGCAGAACATACTTCCATTCGCGCATATACAAATTCGCTTTTATCCGATACTTCGTTTTCGCCTTAATCCAAATAAAATCCGGGACAATTTGAAAATAAAGATTGTATTTTTATCGCGCACAAAGTTATTCGCATTTACATGCAAATTGACATGCTCCCCTATTTAAATAAGTTATTATCATCCTGATACGTTATTAATAAGTTTAAAGTATTACCCTTACGAAAAAGAACTGATTAACAACGTCAGTAACTGATAATGTTGAATCAGTAGTAACTCGTAGCGTTCTATTAGTGACTGATTACGAAAGTCAACTACTGGTAATGTTTCTCAGTTAACGTCCAGTTTTAACGATCAGTTTCTACATGTCTGAGAAAGTCTGGTTAGTCAATGATTTTTATCATCAGTAACCAAGTGCTGATCAGTAACTAAGTATTGATCTGTATTTAGTTATTATGTAATTGGATTATCCGATTATATTTAATCGGACATTTTTCTCAGTGTATAATAGAGGTAAGATTTTTAGGCGAACGCCAAGTGAAGATTGCAAAAGCTCTGACAACTTTAAGTACTATAAAACTTGCTATTTCTACGCATTTATACTTTCGGCGC